ACTGACAATCAGAAGCTAAAATCCTTTGCAGTTGAACCACAGAATCCTGGAAACCACATCAGTGTGGGCTAAGTCTATGTCCTTTCAGTGGCCATTCTAGTCACTTGATAGGAACCTTGGAGGAACTCATTCCAATAGAGGATCATTTCAAGATGCCCTTTTTATGAATGCTATAAATTTTCCCTGCAAGTACATTCATAGATATCTGGCAGATGTCATTCCAGTACATCAGATGGGCCATGTGTGGTGGTTAGCATCTTAAATCATGTTTTCAGGCACAAATTTTAGCATCATCATTCATCTAGGATAAACCAGTTTGAAAATCTTGTACCCTGTTAGTGAAATGCCTGATTTTAACAGCCACATACATGATACATCAAAAACCTATGCTGCTTGTGTCACAATCAAAATCCCTGGTTTGTAACCCCAAGTGCAGGAGTGATGCTGTAAAGATACCCCACCGGACTAAATCTTATAATATACATATCATAAATAAAACTATTCAAAATTGACGATGTAGTTTATAAATTTTTAAAATATTATATTACATAAAACTAATAAAATCAAATATCATTTTAAAATAATTTATAATATTTATTACATTGTCAAAATAAAAACTTTAACTAAAATAATGGAGCACTTATAACATCAAATCAAAATTTTAAAGTAAAGCATTGCGAAATAAATTAGGTATACCAACTAAAACTAAAAAAATATAAACACTCAACAAAGTCTACTTGCTAAGAAAAACTAAAATCTTGAAATAATATTAAAAATAAAAGCTGAGTTCAACCAACTGAATGAGAAAATAATATTAAATAAATATTTTAGATATTAATAGTTTGTGTATTGATTTATTTTGATGTAAACACACACGTTAAACATACTATCATAAAATAGTAAAATACATGTAAAAAATTAGATGACACTCAAAGATAATCATTGTAAGAGGATCAATTATCATGGATTGATAACTCTCTTACTAGTTAGGTATATAAAACACCATATACACATATATTAACCACTCTATATTAGCATAAAGTTCTCTATTAAGTCATAATAAATATTTGTATAATTATCAAAATAATATATATTATATTGAATAGAATTTAGTTCAATAAAATATAAGTGCAAATTTAAGAATAGATGAGTACTTAGAAATAAAGTAACAAATATAAATATTCAAAAAATTAACTAGTTCTACTCATCATATAATCAATATACATATTTATTTATATTACATGCATATTAAATATTATTTCACTCACTCAAAAAATATAAAAATAAAAAGAAATATCAGATAAAAGATTTAAAAATCTTATTGAAGATCGTTAGAAGTATCTACAACAAATATATATAATATACTAAAAAAACAACTTAAAACAACACAAATAAAAAACTTCAATACATAAGAGAAAACTAGATTTAGTCTCCTAAGTCTAAAGACTAAAATAACAATTTTTAAAAATCAAGTACTAAAATATAATTTTACTAGAATTGGATGACCAAACTGTAGATGTCAAAAATACAAAACCATATTGAAATTTCACCCATAATCCATCTTAATCCCGTCTACAATCTCAATATGTTACAAGGACCAAATCATGATTTTTTCAAAGTTTAAGGATTAAACTATAAATCTTCAAAATAGAGGGACTAAACTAAAAAGCATACACATAAAATATCAAACTGAGATTCATCATTATTAAAGTCATAAAAATACTGTCTAGAATTTTCAAAATCTATTTCAAGGATCAAATTATAATTTTTTAAAGTTTAGAAACTAAACTTTAATTTTCATAAACCAATGATCAAAATAAAATTTTATTATCTTCAATTTCAAGATTATTCTGACAAGATATTTTTATAGGAAAGTTGAAACAAATTTTTTAATTCATAACAAATCAATTCATAAAATTTATAATAATATATTCAAAATCAATCATTTAACATTAAATTCATAATAATTATGAATCAATTTTAATAATATAAATTTCAAATCTTTATAAATCTTGATTTTTTTAAAATTTTTTCATAAATAAATCATATTAAAAAATAATATAAAAAACTTGTTTACTTGTTCCTTCTATCTTTTTTTTTAAGCTAAAAAATAATCTAAATTGACTGGAAGTTGCAACAACCATTCTTGGTTGTTCGCCTTTTGCTGACAAAGATGCTTGCTATCTCAGTTACAAAATTCAGCCCAATCTGGCAGTTTAACTTGATTGTCTGCCGAGCCATAGTCTAGCATTATTGTCTCACAGGATATTTCTTCTCAACCGTTTAACCTTTGACCTTCTTTACTTTTATTTTTAAGTTAATCTATTAAGAGCTTGGGGGAAGTACGTAAATGTAGTGGCATTATCTAGTTCATCCAGTGAATCACAATTAGACGTCTTCCTTTGAAAACCAAGTGCTCTTGAATGAAGAATTAACAAACTCATACAGGATACAAAAGCAGATTTTGGTAATAAATTGTACTTTGCTAGATTTTTTGAGGTGATTTCTAAAAATTGAAGAAGAAGAAGAGGAAAGAAAATACTGCACTTAAAAAGAAACAAAGAAGAAAAAAGTGAGCTGTAGGAACACAGAATCAAAATGAACTGCATCATCTCTTAGGAAATAGAGTTTCTCCATCTTCCAGGTGTCTTTCTAGTCAGTTCTTCAGGAGCTGCAACCTGAGACCCGATTTCGTTGTTTTCCAAATTTGTCATCTTGGTAAATTTGCTAAGTTTCTTCCACCCTGTGGTCCATGCTGATGTTTGTTTCTTATTTGTCATTTTATCAAACTTTCTCTGCAAATTATCCATGTCATTCTGGAGCTCAAGGTATTTAGCCTTCATGGTTTCGAGTTCAAACTTGAGAGTGTTAATGTCCTTCTTAGCTGTTGCCCATCCTTCTTGGAATGACTGTGGTGTCCCTTCAAGTAGAGTTTTTCTGTTTGATATCATAGGCTGGTACTGAGCTTCACTGGATACTTTCAGGGTATTGTTTGCTAATGAATTGCTTATTTTCACCTGCTCAGAAAAGAGTACTTGGACTACAACTCTAAGCGGTAGCCTTTCATTTTGAGCAGCATGCATGCAAGCATCAATTGAAAGTTTTTGGCAGTCCATCACACGACAGAGGCGCTTCCTTTCATGCTCAGATAGTGATGGATGAGCCTGTTGAATAGTGATAAAAAGTATTTCAAAAAAAGAAATTTGCATTTTCAAATTGCTTAACATAGGGCTAAAGTATAGAAATACTTGAACTATAATTCAATTTCTTTCCTTTGAAGATTTCTTCATGAAACTAGGTTTGCATTTCTGCTAATTCCTTATCACATATCAGTTTCTTAGTTAGCAATAGCTTTCTACCAACTCCTTCAAGCTGATAGATTCATTTTTGACATTGTTACTGCTTTCGTTGTCCTGCTGAGCTATATCTGATTATGATGGAAAGAAATGTCTGCCTATGGTCATGGTTTTACAAGGGGGACCATTATATGTGATGGTATTTCTTCTTCCTCTATGACCTGAGGGTATGTCTTTTTCAAATTTATAATTTATTTCCAATTATCATATGCTGTTTGTCTTCATCCATGCACTGGTATGCCTACTTATCAACAGGTTCACATGCACAATTTGGTCCTGTTTCTAGACCTCTAATCAGCACTCTCTATTTCATGTACCAAAAGCTCAAATTTGAACCAGGCTTCTTACTTATAGAGTCCTAAAAATAAATTCTGTAAATACAAATAAGGCGAAGGAAAGGAATTACCTTAAGATAAGAATCGATTGCTCTATATAGTCCATCGTCGCAGGTCCTTGCGGATTCAGGCAAGGCTTCTGCCAGTACCTGGAACTTTGTCAGTGAAAGGTTTCTATCTCTTGACACCTCTGTAAGATAACTGTCAACAAGCCTTGCTACTCTCATTTTGGAACTTGTATTAGCACTCCTTTGAGTTCCATCGTACATATTTTTGTCAGAAAATGTTTGCCTGCTTGGACTTGAACTTTCTGTTTGTTCTTGAACGAGAAAATGCTCGAGAAGTCTCTGAACAAGATCCACATCAAACAAAGTTTCATTTTTATTGTAAGAAGGTATTAGAAGGTCTGCCAAAGCAGCCTGTTCAAACTGCATTCCGATGCGCTTCTCCAATTCAGTAACCAGAGCAGGTGCCACTTTCAACATGTTTGCCATTCTCAGCAGGCGAAGAAGGAAGCTGCAAGAGACACTATCCTTCTGTGGTGGAATTATGCTGATCAGGCTCTCGACGATCATCCGTTGATCTTTGGTTTCAGCTGTTGGGATGTCATCTTTAGTTCCTGCCACAATCATATGGAGTCCACCTTTCCAACTGATGCCACCACTACTACTGTTACTATTACTGTTGCTGCTATTGCTTGCTTCATCTATAAAACCTCCCCCATCTTGAATTAAACCTGGAAGCCATTTTCCTGCATAATGCATTATTGCAGCTCCAATCAATTCAAACCTCATACCCTTTACCTTGATTGCAGTAATGACTCTAACAAAGTGATCAATCCTAAGGATTGAAACATCTTCAAACCACCAATCAGGAGGAACTTGGGAGTATCTACTAGGAGTTGAATCCTTCATCTCATGCCATTTTGGACTAGGAACTTCAGGGGGTTTTCCTGTGTATGCCCACCTTATTCCTTTAGGATTGGCACAAGCCTTCCAAGCAATGGACTCGCTGCATCTTCGAACAATCTGAAGGTTCTCCGCCCATGGTGAGAGCTTCTCACTGCTATTCAATACCAATATAGAATCTCTCCATGAAGATAGCACCACGTAACTGAGAAATGCTTCGGTTTTGAAAATAAGATTGCCTTCTTCCAAGTCCTCTGTCATTTCAAGGTACTCTGCAGCACATCTTAGGCCAGAGATATTGGCTGCTGTTAGATCGACAGCAATTCCATAGCAGAATTTTGCTGCAAGCTCAAACGCCTCCGGTCCACCCGGAAGATCATCCAATGCTACCTTGTTAAGGTCCAGGTCACGCGATTCGTATATTAGTCTATTCATTTTTCCACTCCTTGAAAGCAACGGATACTTTCACAAGAACAGAAACAAGAAAAAAAGGGTCAGTAACACAATTCTTAAACTATCTGCTAGTTATTGAATTCTGAAATACAGAAGCTTAAGAGGAGAGAAACTCAAGCATCACAAGAGAAAAATAAGTACCTTATGCAAGTGAAAATTTACATCTCCAACCTGAACTAGAAAATCACTTGGAATATCAGTTGTGACATACCTGCATATCAATCAAATCCCACCTAATATTTCAGAAGTTCATGTGCAAAACAAGCTAAACTACTAAGAAGAACCATTTCAAACCCTTGTCTATGCTCAAACTTTGTCATGATACTATAGACATGACATAAAAAAAGAAAAGCAACCAACCAAAAGTTGAAGAATCTCATAGTTTACAGTATGAAACTTTACTAAAGTTTCTATTTTTCAGATACATACCATGAGTGGTCTCTTTGCTCAAATCCATCAGTCTTGACACCATGCTTTCTCGAGGAAAGGACTCCATTTCCATAATCTCTACCAGTAACAGATTCACTCTCAGAGTCCCACATGATGTCGAAACAAGAAAATCCAAGAAAGCCTGAGCAGGGTTTTTCTCAGGACAAGAGCCCTTCTAAAACAGAGTTGAAGCAGAGAAAACAAGCAACAAAAGCAGACAAAACAACAAGTAAAACAACACAGAGGGTTGATGAGAAAGAAAAGGAGAACCCCACATGGGGGTGCTTGGAATTATCTCTCAACTGTCGGCTTCTTGAGGATTTTCAAGAGCCTCTTTTACATTACAGTCTGTGAAGTAATGGGCATGGAATTTCGTACTGGTTTTGGATCATTTTGAGCTAGCTTGCATAATTCTTAAGACATTTCTCTGTCTTCATAGCTCTGCGCACAAGACACTGAAACATCCAGTTTCCAATCTTTCGTATCATGCTTTTTTTGCTACTATTGATCACATTCCAAGACAACATTGTTATGTGGACAAGAGAGAATGAGAAATTAATTTTTTCTTAAAGTAACAGGAATTATATTTATGGGAGTGGACCATCACTTTTAATGATTTTGGCTCCTTCCCATTACTGTGCAAAGGAATATTCATTTTTTGTTAAAGTATTTAATTTTTTTTATTTTATGTTAATATTAAAAATAATTTTTTAAAAATAAAAAATTATTTTAATATATTTCTAAATAAAAAATACTTTAAAAAACAATTATTAACACATTTTTAAACATATCCTAAATACCCCAACTAAGTTTCTACTTCTCATTGCCTGTTTGTTGTTTTCAACTGAATTTCATTATTACTGAAGTGTATATTTATCTTGAAAATATATTAATTTTATTATATTGGTATTAAAAATAAAAAAAATATTTTCAAATATTTTCAAATTTAAAAAGCATATCATATATGCTAGTAGAATTAATTTGTGAGCCAACCAATCAATCTAATTTTTTATTTAAATAATAACTTTTTAGTTTTTAAATTAAATGATATTATTTTAATAAAAAAAAATCAAGTAAAAAATGAAACGCAGCAACACCGAACCTGATTTTATAACTATGATAACAAAAATCTTTGCGAACAAAAGGGAACAATCATGGTTTGAACCAAAACCAGTGGTAAATTCAGAGAAATCTTATTGTCTAGAAACATGTACAAATGCATGCAGAAGCAAGATCAAAATTCAATTTGCTGTGGCATCAGTGGTAGGTCCATTAGTTTCAGTTAAAGGGGTGTTTTATTTTATTTATTTTATTTTTTGTGTCAGCAAGAAATGATAAGCATGACCCCCCATCCATCCATAGACTGGCTAGCTAGCTAGCTGGATTAGTAACAAGTATTTTTGGCCTTTTTATAAGGCTGGTGATGGCCTTCTTCCCCACTCATCAGAAGCACCCTAGAAATACAGAGACTTTTTTACTATTTGGAGATGTGTATTTGATTGATTATTGTCTGAGACTTGACTCCTTATCCTCCTTTTGCCTCTCCCATCCTGACCCTACCTCCCATTATCTATACTTCTCTTTTCCCATTTTTTGTGTTGTTTTTATGCACAATGTGTATCTGTTTTCTTTTCCCTCCTGGTTTTACAGCTAAGTGATTCTCTTATGGTTAATTTGTGTGTATTGAAATCATGCTCTCTTCTCCAGGTTATTTGGGTAAGAATCATTTTTGTTTTTTGAAGATTTTACTTTTATGGCTCAAGTTGAATCTTGAATTCTTGTTTTTAAAGTAAAAATTAAATTGTGACTTGGCTATCAAGTCTTATATATAAATCTTAAAAATGAACTTGGGACTCCACAAATAAAATGCTTGGACTTCTAAGAGTTAAGAAAAATAGAGTAAAGAATTCCTAGAAATTATTAATTTAAAAATTTACTTCGTCGATAATTTTAAAATCTTAAGAGATTAATCAAGATATATATATATACTGATCAGAACATTTATGATTATAAAAACAAAATAAAATAAAGAATTGACTTTTTAATTCAGTAAAAAAAACTTACCATAATTTATGAACTCAATTGATTCAAGGTAAAATCTATTATTTATTTTTTTATCAAATTAATATTATTTTGATGTTTTTTTTTTAAAAAAATAAATATACTTGGATTGACTTTCCCTATAAACTCCTCCTTGCACCGGACTCTTTTTATAACTATACAATCAAGCAAACAATTTGTATGTTTGTAAGTGCATTTATGATGAATAAACTTGAGAGAGAATTAAGTTTTTCAGGAGTGCAAAATCATATCATTAAGATAGTGAACATATGGCCTTCTAATTGTAGTTATCGCATGTGTAATTATGTTAATTTGTTTTTCAGAATAATAATGTTGATCATTAATTAAGATTTTCTTATCTTTCAGGTGTTGACTCATTCATCATCATCTTGTAAACTTTCCTCTGCGGATCCCACCCATATTAGTACTATGTAAACCGCATTGATATTGAAATTTCAATGGAAGATCTGACAAGAATTCTTGGAAGAAGATAGCAACTACTCAAATAAGGTGGGACAAACATTCCATGACCATTTCACACCCATGCCACCTCAAATAATTTTTGTGTTTTTGCTATTTTAAAAATAAATTAAAATTATATATACTTTTTTTTTAATTTAAAAAAACACCTAGAAAGATTTATGGGATGCTGAGGAGTTGGATTTTCTCCCTATATGTTATTATTTAATATTTCAATTTCAAAAGATGTCATAAAATAAATTTCTTAGAAACCCATTATTTTAAATATGAATAATATACTTAAACTCGAGTTATTGGTCTAAGATATAATTTATTTTAGATCTAAATTATTAAATTATTAGGTTAATATAATCAATTATTTTTTCTAAAATAATAATATTTTAGTTTAATTTTTTTTTATTGAAATAGACCTGATCAAATCTCACCTTGGTTTAATCAAGTTATAGATTAATTCATTAAGTTATTTGAGTTTAATCAGGTAAATATTCATAATAATTAGAAATTAAACATGTTATGGGTTAGGCTCTAAAATATCAAGTTGACTCGTAAGATTAGATAGATTTAATAATTATGTTAAAAATAAATTAATTTTAATGTATAAAAATTAGAAAAAAAAATCCTAAAGAAAGAGAACAGGGTTATTCCTATTGACTAATCTAATAATTTCCAAAAACGAGTAAATTTTTTTTGATATAAATTTGCATATTTTCTTTGGATTTATAAGGCGTGGGGTTTTTGGATCATCCAATTAATCTCAAGAATAACTTTCTGGTCACACATGCAGTGCGTTATGAAAAGCTCAAAGTGAGTCCAAGAGTCTTCAGCCAAATTCTTCTGATTGATTACCCTTTTGTGAAAAAAGGTGAATGTGGAAACAATAACTATAATTTTTAAATTTGGGCATAGAAAAAAGAGTTCTATACATAATTATTTGTGCTCCTTTTATGTAAGGATTTCAACGACAAGAAGATTGAGAATGAGAGGTATTTACGAGAATGAGAATCAGTTTTTTTTTTAAAAAAATATATTAAAATAATATTTTTTTATTTTTTAAAAAATTATTTTCTTAAAATACTTTAAAAAATAATTTAAAGTAAAAAAAATAAATTTAAAATGTTTTTAAAATACTCTTGAAATAAAAAACAAACGGTGGTAATATGAAACCACCTCTTGCCTGACAGTGATAGAGATAAGGGTGATGGGACCCTCTGAAGCTCTTTAGGGCCTAGGATATTGTTTTCTACCCTCAGTTTGCTGGCAGCTAAAAAATGTTTATTGATTTTGAAAGAGAAGATATTATTGTCTAGCAAATAAAATCTTTTTTTAATTCTCATATATGAATTTTTCTTTAAGGAATTTCCATGATTTCTCAGTAATATTCTTATTTTGATAAATTAAAAAAAAGAAGAAATTCCATATAGAAGTTTCCCCATATTGTTTTAAAATTCAAAGATTTAATAAAATTCTCTTCATACCAATAAAAATATTCCCAAAAAAAGAAAAAAACTCTTTTTAAATTTAAAATCTTAAAAGTATCCCTTCTGAAACTCATATTCTTGGTACAATAAAAGTTTACTCAAATATATAGAATAATCAAATATATAGCTTAATCGATTATATTATAAATTTAATTTTAAAAAATTATTAATTTAAATTTTACAAATCATATAATTATTGAAATTTTTTATAAATATTATTTTTAAAACTCATAAAATTAACTAAAATATACATAAATTTATCTAAACCTAGTAACTGGGTGATGAACATGTGGGGATGCTTCCATCTAAGCCATGCATTTTGGTTGTGATATCGCAAGCTACGATGTTGCAAACACTTACTGAATATCATGCAGATCATAACCAAGGAGGGAAAATCAACTTTAGGATCATATTAATCCTGTTTAACCAATCGTTTAATAATTTCTAAAATGCATGGTTCACCTGTCAATTACTGCCATGTTCATGTGGAAGAACTCTGGTATGTAAATCATTTTCCATTCAAAAACATGTCAAATCCAAGAGATTAATGATCTTTAATCAAGGCCCACTTCAACTAATCATTCAAGAAGCTCTGAACTCAAGCTTTTGTTTACCATCCATTGAACAGTGAACTAACTTGGTTATCAGCCAAACTCAGATGTACCTTCAATCGATCTTATCAACTGGTGATTGACTTGTGCACTGATTTGGCCGGAAAATGAGTGATTTTGAACGTTTTTATATGATAATTATTTTGCATATATCTTGTGGAAATTCAGGGACAGCGAGGTGTTTGAAGGGTGGTGGTGGGAAATGAGCCACATTAACATCCAATGCCATTCCCCCCACATGCATGTCCCCATTAGCTGTTGGGGTTTGGCAAGACATGACAGCTTCATCTTGGTTCCTGGGAATATGTATATATACATACAGTAAAAATAGTGAATTTAATATGTATTTTTTTTTAAAGTTTCAATAGCTCTCTTAAATACATCTATTTAGCGTTTACAAAAAAGTTATTTGAATATTAAATATTTTTTTTAGTTTTAAATATTTTTTTTAAAGCTGAACTTTTATATATTATAAATTATTTAAGTATTCAGTTTATAATAATAATTCATATAAATCACCAATAAATTTTTTTATAAATAATAAATTTTATTTATGTGACTCATTAGGTTCATAATAAATTATCTCAAATATAAATTATAATTCTAATAAAATAAAATAAAATAGTTTAATTTATTATTAATTTAATAATTAATTAATTTATATTTGAAGATTAAAGTGTATAATATTTAGCAATTCATCACAATTCCCAACTATTAAAAAAGTTATAAGTGATTTGATTTAATATTTCAGATATTAGTTTCTAATGTAATTATTATAGTTTCATCATGAATGTTTCAGTTTAAATATTATAGCATGTAGTATGTCTATTTTATTAAATGATTTTAATTCTTGGCATGATAATCAT